CCCCCCCCGGTCCCCAAAACCAGGCCTCAGCCACGCCGACCTGATCATCCTGGCCGGCACCGCCGCCCTCGAGGCCGCCTCCGGCGCCGACCCGGGCTCGTTCGGCTTCTGCCCCGCACGCGTGGACGCCCCGGAGGCCGACCCCTCTCTGGATGTCCTCGCGCCCCGCACCTACGTCAACGCCTCCGTCGCCGTCCGCGACGGGTTCGCCGTCGCCGGCTTCACGCCTGCCGAGGGGGTCGCGCTCGCGGGGCGCCCGCGGAGCGCGGCATACATCAAGGGCCAGGGCTACAGCGGCACGTGGGGCGGTGCGCCCGGCGCCTTTGACAACGGCTACTTCAAGACCCTGCTCGGGGAGACGTGGGTCGAGTCCAAGTCAGCTTCCGGCAAGGCAGAGTTCAAAGCCGAGGGCAAGGGTGACATCATCATGACGCCGGAGGACCTGGCCATCAGGGACGACCCCGAGCTGGTCAAGATTGCCAAGGGGTACGCGGAAGACGGCGCAGCGTTCCTGAAGGCGTTCTCTGCGGCGTGGACCAAGCTGGTCAACGCCGACAGGTTTGACGGGCCGGCAGGCAACGTGTGCGACGACAAGCCGGCGCCGTCCCTGGCGGTCGCGGCGTCGTGAGCGGTCCCTGTGCGCGCGTATACGGCGGCTGGCACAGGGGGGCGCCGTGCATGTGGGTGTGCACGGGTGCAGACACGTGGACTAGGGCTGGAGCTGTGCAATGTGGGCCCGTTTTGACCGGGTGAAATTCAAGCGGCCGCGTAACCAGGTGTGTGGTGTGTCTACAGGGCGTGTGTGGGCCAGCAGGCTCGATTTGCATCTCAACGCAGTCAAACCCACATGCACCAGCGCCTTATCGGGACGAGATCATCGTATCTGTCCTATACCCACAGCCTGGCGTGCATTGCGCCCCACGCACCACACTTCAACACGCGTTGCGATTTTTACTGAACACATGCTTGAAGGAACACCGTTTGTTCCCCGAGGCTGTGTTGGGATTGCCTGATGGGTTCTGTGAGCCTTTGGCCAGTGGTTTTGATGAGTTGCACCACAACTTTTAACTCAGCCAGTGTTGTGCGGATCACCTGGTTGCTGGGTTGCTGCAGTAAACTGTCCACTGAACTCACGTGTCATTGTGACATGATGTCATCTCAGAGGGGTGCGCTGCTTGTAGAAACCCTTGATCGATCCGGGACCGTCCGTGGGGCCGGCCAGCCCGCCCGGCTCGAAAGCTGCCAAGGCAGCCACTGTTCCATTGGCCTGTGACTCATGATGCCCAGAGGTGCGATCTCAACAACAGCATCGCTCAGCCATCTCTGTTGCGGCTAGAAAACTTTGAGCGCCCCCCACCTGCTGCAAAAGCGCCCGCACACTCGAGGGTGTGCGCCCCCTTCGGCCCCTACCCGTGCGCGCAGCCGCAATCCCGCACCCAAGCGCACGAGCAACACTCATGGCGCCGCTGGCCGCCTCGCTGCCTGTGCTGCAGCGACGGTGTGGCGCACCATTACAACAGCCGGGACGGCGCTTCTCGCGTGCGCGCGGGGCGTGCCGCGGGGGCGCACCCCCGTACGCGCAGCTTCCGAAGGCGCCGCGCCGCGGCGCGCCTGGGAAAGAATGGGGACGCCCCTCCGGCCCTGACCACGGCCAAAGCATGCCTTTTGGGACGGAAACCCAGTGGGCAGGTGAGGCCGCGCCAAAACAGACCGCAGTGAGGGGAGGCGGCGGGGTGGGTGGGGCATGGAGTGGAGTGGCGAAAGGCGCGCCGCT